TTTGCAGACATAAGCCATGGCTCGAGCGGCAGAAGCTGCACTTGAGCGGCCACCCTTAATTTTTAACCTTCGCTTGAGCGTAAAATGAGAGCTCCCAGAAGTTTTTCAGACCAATGGGTTCGCTTGAGCGAAGGAAGTTGCACTTGAGTGAACTGCCCTATTTTTGAAAATTTTTCTAAGTGTTTCAAAGTACGGTTTTGCATCCTCATTGCATCTAAGGCATTTTTAGGCCGTGATTTAGTAACAATAATGAGAGTAAGAGTTAGAAACACATGCTAAGAAAGAAGAATGATAAGTTAAACACCTTTGAGACGTGTGTCCAATGTGTATCTATCATGTGTTTGTATAGATCATATGTTATCGCCCGCCTGATCAATCTGTTATGTTCAAGTAATCTGTCATGCTACTGCTGGCGCTATCTGTGAGTAACAACTTTGTAAAACTATGTTTGATTATACGTATTTTCTGATTGAAATGATATGATCAGTTTTTTGAAATGCTTTTATGACAAACTCAAATTTTAATATATATATATATATATATTTTTATATAATGTGACAGTTAACGTGACATTTTTTATTTAATTTTAAATAGAAATTAGTTTTAATTGGAAAAAAGTTGAAACATAAAGGGTCAAAATATAAAAAATAAATTTAAAGAGTCAGTAAAAAATGACAAAAACATAAAGAGGGCAAAATATAATTTATCTTAAAATTTATATATATATATATATATATATAAGAATTTTACAATACACATCCCTTACCATCTATACTTTTATTTACGTTATTTTTTTCTCTAATTATTATCATTTTTTTTCTAATTATGAATTATTATTATTTTTTTTTTAGTTATGACATTATTTTAATATCTTTAGTTATGCCTCATGTAGTATTTGGTTATGACTTTATTTTATTTTGTTTTCATTATAACTTAAAAAATATGAAATTATGCATTTTTCTTCTTTTTCTTTTTCCGTTCAGGTATAAAGTTCATATAGTATACACCATTTGAAGGGTGTGTACCATAATTTATCTTAGTCAAAGAGTAAGGAGATAGTGAAGATTAATTCAGTCGTTAATTTTAAAATTTTTCACATATTAGTTTTTAGTTGTCTGTATATGAGATAACTTGGTCAAATTAAATTTGACTAGACCGCAAATACTCTAAAAAAAAATTCCATTTAAGAAGTGTGTATCATATGGAAGTTATAACATTTGTAAATTTAATTACTATTGTTAATGTATATATGGTATATATTCCTACATATATTAGGTATTGATTTCATAGATCTATTAGGTATTGCCATAATTAGGTTTCTTATAAGATATTTTTTCTCATAGTTAGATTTCTAGTAGGATACTCTTTCTCGGCTTATATATACAGGCCTTTTATTGTATAGAAAAATTCATTCAATACAATTCATTGATTACAATACATATTATTTCCTCTCTCTCTTTCTCTCTATCTACTATTCTAACATGGTATCAAAGCTATATGCTAAGCTCTTGGTGTTCTTCGCCTTATCGGCGGCTCGCCGGACCTCAACCTATTCCATTGCCATATTTTCCTTTTAGTATTATTTCGTGGTTATCTCTTTCTCTATTCGCTGGTTTATTTTTACCCTAAATATCTCTATCAATTTTTTTTTTTTATACTCGTAATCTATTTTTTTGTGCTTCTATTCCCTTTGTTTCAACTTCAAATAGGTTTCCAACTTCAAACCTATTTGAGTTTGAGGGGAGGTATTATACCTATATTATGGTGAGCATGGTTATATACCATGCAAACCACCCAAGTCACCCCCTTTGGCGCACAACCCAAGCTGCCCCCTCTGGTGCACAACCCAAGCTGCCCCATTTGACGCACAATCCAAGCCGCTCTCTAGTGCACTCAGTTATCTGTTGCCATCATTGTTCAACACCACGTCATAAGTTATGTGTCTACTACGCTTGCTGGCTCAACATCCAGTTCTTTACATCGGTCCGGCATGATCCCTTTAAACTATCCCGACAATGATTTCAGTTAGATCTTACATCGATCCGACATGACCCCTTTAAACTGTCTCGACAATGATTCCGCTTAGCTCCTACAACAGTCCAACATGACTCCTTTAAACTGTCCTGATATTAATTCCGATTAGCTCTTACAACGGTCTGGCACAACCATAAACTGTCTCCCAGCATTAGTTCCGGTCTCTGTTCTTGGCATTAGTTCCAGACAGTTTCTATATTGGTCCGGCACGACCTTAAACTGTCTCGACATTAGTTTCAGCTAATTCCTACAATGGTCTGACATGACCATAAACTATTTCCCTGCATTAATTTCGGCCTTTGATCTATTTCAAGCGCCCTTGCGCTTCCATTCGGATTTTGCAACCTATTTCCCTTTTATTTTTTTAATATTATTTTATGTTTTAGTTTCTCTATCCAAACTCAAGATGTTTATCAATGTATATATGGTATATATGCCTACATATATCAAGTATTGATTTCATAGATAAATTAGGTATTGCCATAGTTAGGTTTCTTATATCATACTCTTTCTCATAGTTAAATTTCTAGTAGGATACTCTTTCTCAGCCTAAAAAAATGATTTATAACCAAACACCACACAAGCTAAATAATTCTTTGGTCAAACCAAAATAATTTCACAACATAACCAACATTACAATGACTGATAATTAACACCACAATAGGTCATAACTAAAGATTACAAATATTATAATCAAATATGTATATGATGCACACCCATAGATTTTTCCTCCATTTAAATCTTAAATTTATGAGGAAAAAAAGTATAGAATCAATAAAAATAAATAAATGTAAATGTATTTTTCCTCCATTTAAATCTTAAATTTATCGGGAAAAAAATTATAGAACCAATAAAAATAAATCAATGTCAATGGATATGGGATCCAATCCAATTATCCAAACACGGCAAGAAACTCACCTCGATGGCATGTACAGTGATTACATTTGCGACCCAAAGTCACTATCAGATCATTTTGTATGAGTTTTGTTTAAAAAGTTTTATTTGCAAATCATTTTTCTTCACCAATTGTATTGATTTATTTAATATATTAGTAATGATCTTGGAAAAGTGAAAAAAAAAAATATATATATATATACACATATATAAAGTGAAGAATAACCAAAAATAAATAAATAAATAAATAACTTATATAAATAAGAAAAAATCTACAATGTGTATCTTTTAAAATGGTGCATATTGTAAAAAAATTCTGATTTTTTTTGTGATAAATGTTATGATTGTCTGTGATATGTATTATGACATTTTATAGTAAAATTATGAATAGCAAATTTGTAATGTGCACCTTAAAATTATGGATGATAATGTTATGACATATGACTTTTGTTATGACACTTTTCAATAAATAGGATATTATGACATTTTATGTTTAAAAGTTATAAAATTTTGTAAAAAAACTATGAAAGGCATATTACATGTAACTTTTTGAGGCACATTGTAGTATCTTCTTATAAATAAAAGATGCTTTCTTATATTGATGTTGAATTACAAAAAAATAATAATTGTAAGAAAATTTGTTGATTATGTGAGAGACTGATTTAATTTTGCTATATATTTTGTTAAATTCTTAAATTTTGTACTTTAAACCCAATGATTCATAGTTGTAGAGATCAGGGTGTTGCAATTTACTTAATGGAAAATTTAACAGTAATGTGATTCATTTAGTCTTTTTATTATACATTAATTAGTCTCATTTATTTTGGTAAGGTAAATTTAATATATATTCTTGGGTGGATTTTTACATTTATGGCTTTATTCCATACAAACACTGCTGGAAATTAGAGTTTTAGAGGCGTTTAAAAAACGCCGCTATAGCTCTTAAAAACGCCGTTAAATCCTTGTACGGCGTTTATCACCAAACGTCGAAGATGCGGCCGTCGCTATAACTCTATGGCGCTTTAGAAACGTCGCTATATTGCTATAGGCGGCGTTTTAGAAAAACGCCGCTAAAGTTCTTCTAACGGTTACATGACGTCACCATTCTATTTAGCGACGTTTTTAAAACGCCGCCTTATCTGTTTTTCAAAACTCCAACTGTTGGTATGCTATTTAGCGACGTTTTTAGAAACGCCGTGATAGCCCCTTTTTTTTTTTTAAATTGTGCTAATTTTATGTTATTGAACTAAAAAAATACCTATAAAAAAACTAAAAAATAGCGATAAATTTTTCGTAGTTAGCCATATTCGATATAAGCATAGGCCCATAAGAACCAAATTGTAGATGGAAACAACCAAAGTGTCCATTTGCCACTGGCTGACAATACCAAACCAGTGGCTCAAAACCCATCTTTAAGCAAGCATTAGTGTCTACAGGTCTATCTATGGTTCTATCCACAGGTCTATCTATGGTTCTATCCACAAGTCTATCTATGGTTCTATCCACTTCCACTACAAAAACATTAGAGACTGTATGCTCTTCTTGAACTCATAAAGAGTTGTAGTTCACAACTGAGACGAGTCAACTGCTCAGGATACATACTATTCCTGCAAAAACAGATCAAACCAATTTCAATTATAGAGATCATATGTAACATATCTAAAGCTGTTATAGAAAATAGATTTAACAAAAGTCAACCCTTCTTGATTCAACACAGTTCTTAAAGGCAAAGCTGAAATGATGTCCAGAAGTGGCTCATCCAGGACGGTTACTCTTCCCAGAGTAACAGATCGACCACAACAAACAACAGCAACCCCAGGAGCACCTCTCGTTGAAGATCAAATACGAGAATACCGACAAGGCCAAAGAACTTTTATTTAATTTGAAAATTCTTGGGTATCTATAAAATAAAATATACAGTATATACAGTTTCAACTTTGATGTTGTGCAAGTCTTGTTGAAGTAAACTCATTCAATACATTTTTTAAATGAACATGGTATATATGACTCAGATTCCTTTTTTTTTTTTTTTTAATTTTTTTTTTTTCGAATATCTTTTTATTACATGATGAGTTCATCGAGCTCTAATTAATCGATAGTTTCAAATGAATATGAGAATCACTTGATTAGTTAAGTATGCGATAATGTCAATATCCATCATCTATTTATTCAATTTTAAGTTTTTGCCCAAATAAATTGAGAAGATGCAAAGGAACTCACTGAATGTCCCTAGATAAAGGTCCTTGTTTCCTGCAACTCTGCCTATTCGAGCTTGCCAGCGTCCATGTTGATGATGTCTGTTGAAGATTACATCAGAATTAGAGACCCATAAAGAAGGGCAGGGTCTGGGAACGACGAGATGTACATCAAATATACTTCTACTTATAATTAAAGGAAGCGTGCCAATAAAAATTATAGATTAACAGATGTATGTGCAAAAAATAGTAAGACCTTGTGACTCCTCTGTACATTGAAGCACCCCTTGAGAAGCCACTGCTTTTTCTGCAAAGATCAATATATTAGAGATAAAAACACATCAAACAAAGAAAACAAACATTGTTGTCTAATATACTAGGGGAGAGACTATACCTTCTTAAGTGAGCAACATATTCTTGTCTGGTCATGTTCTTCATATGTTCAAGTTCTTGTTGATAGTTTTCCAGCTAAATCATCAATATACAGAGTCCCATGTCAGTTACAAAACAATTGTTAGATGAAATAAGCTGATGAGAGGGTCAGAGAACCACCGGAAAATTGATATGGGTCGAAGGGCCCCAATACTTGAGTGCAGCTAAATCATAAGCTCTTGCAGCCTTTGCTTCCATATCATAACCCCCTGAAAATTAGTATTTGGCAATGATGATGCTATGAGAATTGAAGGAAAGAACATGCTTATTACTCAATCATTGTCAATAACAAGACTTACCTAGATAAACTGATAGTCATTATTGGTATCACCCAGCAATGAAGAACATGAGAAATGAGGAAAGAATAGTATATTAGTCACTTGAACAACAAAAGATAGCCAACAATGCAGGGCCTGGCAAAGTAAAAATCTTAAAGAGGCAATGTGGATGGATTATATGTTTCCTTCACTAACCTTGCCTTCCTTTCCTGCTTTGTCCCTCTTTCTTACAACTGTTGTCCCAGAGATGGGCTTCATATCTACCAGTCCATCTATGCCTGATGGATGATAATCCACAGAGAGAAAATGAAAGTACTAAACATGAAAACAAGGGAAACATGACTTATAAAAATAAATAAAGGGTGATCCAGTACACTAGATTCCCGTTAATGCAGGGTTTGAAGAGAATAAGATGTACAAAGTCTTATCTCGTTTTTTGGAGAGGTTGTTGCAGTGACTTGAACACGTACCACCAGAGATGTCAACAGCAAACTTATCGTTAGGCCAAGCCACCCTTAACTCACAAGAATGAATGAGAGAGAAATTGAAAAAATGCAAACACAGCAAGATCATGAAGCAATATATTGCTTTTGGGGAAGTACTAGATAGGGAGCCATTTGATACCGAATTTGGAGTAAGGGTATTTTTGCTATTTATGCATTTGTGATACGTTGCTCTAATTATATGCATGTGGTTGCAAGGGGCACCTATCTCTATATATTTTGTGTAATCTTTTTTATTCAGTGCAACTGCAGCGATCATGAATTTGTGGATCGTTTTTGGGTAATTTATGTAAACCTTGTATTTTTGTATATGCATGTGATTTATAATTCTTATGCATTTATTCTTTTCTGTTTTTCTGTGAGCCAATCCTGGTTAGGTGTGACTAATTCCTAACAGGATAATGAGTGATGTAGGAAGAAAGGTATGCATTTTGTATAATAAAATAAAAAGATAGACAGATGCAATAACAAAGAACATCTAGCATATTACAGAAAAGAGATGGAAGGAGATTAAAGAACTAACCTTGTGACACCTCTATACTGTGAAGTCCTCTGTCCAAATGTATCAATGGACTTCCTATGGACAACCTGCTTCTGATCAAGCTTCTCAGACCCTCTTTTCTTTCCCTCCATGGCTACACACTCAGTAACAGTGGGTGAGATCTGCTGTGAACCAGTAACACAGCTTGATTGGGAGCCAGGGCTCATGGACAAGCTCAGTGACTCCAAATCCCAATACCCCAATGCACTCATAGACCCAGATTCAACCCCATTGTCCAATGCATGACTTGCAGGGTAATAATTCCTTGAAACCCAGTTCTTCATCACAGAGAAATCATCTTCTGCCATGTTTGGGAGCTGGAGATTACAATCTGAAACCTGGGCCTCCTTAGTCCCCTCCTTGAACAGTGTTTGGTACACCTCAGGGTAATAATTTCATTGTTTTCCTCAAAAAACTTTAAATGTCATTATTTCAATAACAATATATTCTATCATTTTCCATAGAACTCAGAGTTTCCCTCTAAAACAATTAAAAACAGAGTCATTAACAAAACTAGACAGTTAATTTGAATGTTATTTTGGGGTGTGGTTTTCATTTGCAACCACCATACCTATACCTTCACCATGTGCCAAATTTTGTGGGTTTGTTGTGAATATTGTTTTGTTGTTCTGGTGACTGCATCTCCTAACTGGTCTTCTGGTTTTTGATGATACAAAAAATGCACAAATATGATAATGGCATCCAAAAACTTATTTCACATTTTTTATTCTCCTTTTACAAGTCCACAAAAATTGTTACACGAAGTTCTTGGTAATTCCTAGTTTCCTGTCCTCTACACTACATGATTACAGTAAAACATACAGACAGACCCAAACTTTCAGACTAACATTTTTCAACATACAAAACCCAAAATTCATGAGAAAAGAGGCTTTAAACGTGCAGAGACAATGAAAACATACCAATTGTGAGCACAACACTTATACATACAACACAAATCTGACTAATTGTAAGTTATATAGAGTTGACCAATTCAGATGAATTGAGACTAGCATTTAAAAAGTTCAGGCCAGCCTGGCCCAATAAGCCTAATTATCAATTCAAAGCCCTTAAAAATGTGGGCTAGATTAGGCAGGCCACCAAAACAGTGCCACCCCTATGCAGGATGTGTATTTCTCTAGTAAATGCTGGAAAAGTTCCTATAGAGAGGAGTACATAGTTAATTACCAGCTAGTTGTCACAGTAGTAATGAAGAATTGTGATCCGTTGGTGTCTGCTCCTCTATTTGCCATGGATATTACTCCTGTAATAAGAAAGGGGAAAAAAAATTAAATCAAAATTCTTGTGGCAAACATGAAAGCCTAGAGTTTAGATAAGGTACTTGCGAGGGGTTTTGTGCTCACCAGGGCCGGTGTGCTTCAGTTCAAAATTCTCATCGGCAAAGTTGTCACCATAGATTGATTCTCCACCCCGCCATCACCAAGAGTAAAATCACCTCCCTGGATCATAAAACTGGGAATGATCCTATGGAATTTGCTCCCTTTGTAATGGAGAGGCTTCCCACAATATAACAAAATAAGATTGAGGAACAACAAATATGTATTGATGCAATTCAAATTCTAGCTGTCAATCCATAATTAGTACTTTTCTACATTTGAATTGACAAACTCAAAACTAGATAAATGATAAATACATACCATTTGGTATATCCTTAAGCTGTGTGCCTTGACCCTACTGTTTACCAGGACTTCACCCTGGTAAACCGACGTAGTAAACTTCAACATCTGGCAACTCATTTTAACTTCAATTGACGAATCAAATTATGCTATTTAGCTATGTAAAAGTTCCCTGTCAATTGAAGTTTTACATGGCTAAATATGAGAAATGTAAACTTCAGCATCTGGCAACTAATTTTAACTTCAAATGATGCAATGCTACCAGTCAGTTGTATTACCAAATATGAGAAATGTTATATCCAACACCAACCGGAACTGATCCTGGTGTCTCTCTCATTGTTATTCAATGTACTAAATTTCTAACTTCACTCTTGATTAAGTAAACAATTTTTTTCAAAAAAAAAAAGAAAAAAAGAAAGAGTTATTGGATGAGAAGTCTAGAAGGAGAAAGCCACCAGTCCTGCAGACAAAGGGTTAATTACACTTTTATCTCCCCTCAACTATCAATGAATATTGTTTTACCACATCAACTTCAATACTGCACATTGAGAACCATTAACTATGAAAAATGGTACAAATACCCTTCTTTTGGAAGGGTGGAAGTGAAGCAATTTTTATAGTTGAGGGATCCAAATGTATGGTTTTAAAGTTATGGGGGTAAAGTAATATTCAGTGATAGATCAGGGGGAAAAAGTGTAAAGAAGGCTGATAGAAGCAATATCTAGTCCTTCATGCCATCTGTCTACAAGTAATTTTCCACGAGGACTTCACACTAGCACTCCTTTTGGTAATACGCCAAACAATTAGGTAGCCCAACTGAAAAACTAAGTCCTTTTATGATACATGTGAAATCTCCTTCTGAACAAAAAGGTCCACACAGTATCCTACTTTCCCACAATGACCTGTTTTGAGTCTTTCAGACTTCTTCCAGTTACTAGGAAAGCAGTTATAACTGTCATGGTGTCCAACCATGTCTCCCAAATAACAGTGGGTGTTTTACTCGTGTATCGTGTAGTGGTAGCATTTTGCATCATCAAATTATTCCTTTTAGAATTTCCATTTATTTTTTTATTTGTTTTCCCTCGTCTCTTAAAAAGATTGTATCCCTGTCAGGTTTTGACAATAGCAGTATTATTAGTGCAATTAACCCAAAAGATGGAAGAAAGTATTAACGTGCTAAAAAATTTTCAAGTAAAACCACATAGAGAGACAGTACCCAAACAAAATGCCTGATTCCAAGCCGTAAATAATTTCCTCAACAACTTCATATTGCATCTGCAAGGAAAAAGCACATCACAACATAAAAGGGGAAATCCCAAGCTGACGCTTTGTAGTTTGATAAAACAATACATAATATTAGGAAGAAAAAAAATACCATCTCTTGTTCTCTTCGGTGACGTCTGTAGATGCGATGCCATCTGTTAAGTAGTACCTACAGTCACGAGATTTCTGTTAATGCCTGAATCATATCGACAAATTTAAGAAACAATTTCTTTAACAAAACCCTAATAGCAGTGATAAGACAAACAAAATATAGCACTGGTGGAAAACCATACAGCATAAATATATTACACAAATAGGAAAAGAAAGGCAGTAACAATCTAGAAAACTAAATCAGTGACAGAAACAGGGAATTCACAATCTACTGCATCTTCCAGCAAATCAGCCCATTCAGAGCCAAAAAAAATAAGGCTCAAAATAGAAGGGATTACTATATTTTTGTGACATCAATTGTGACTCTTCCATAATATTATAGCTAGATTAATACTACTACAACTTTGCTTTTTTTGAGTTTCTCATAATATACAGATGTAACTTTATTAAAACTTAAAAATGCTTGAAGCCAACAATGAGACTCTTTATTTATCACACAGACAACAGGATGAGCCCTTGCATTATCTCTAATCTTGTTTTAATTCTTTTTTCATAAAATGCACTGAAGACCTTTAATTAACTTCCCGATTACCAAAAAAATCAAAATTCTGTGAGTAATTAATATAAGAAAAAAACAAAATTAACAAAGAATTATTTGCAAGAAAGAGTAGATGGACAATAATAACATTCAATTGAATCAAAGTCTTATAGTACATAATAGAGAAACTGTAGAGAGACTAAACTCAAATAAATGAAGAAATTAATCATGAAATTACATACTGGAATTTAAAAAAACATTACACTCATTGTTTTTTTGGGAGCCCAGACGACATCCTTAGAACCACTCACATCTAAACAAACCCACATTTACGTATTAGAAATTCTTACATCTAATTTACACAACAATTGACAAGTAACAAACACCCCCCCTCCCCCTTAATTAAAAAGTCCCCCAATTAACACCATTCATCATCAACATAAAAAATTTAAAAAATAAAAAATAAAAGAAAGAAAGCAGGAAGGAAGGAAGGAACGAACGATATGGCAGATACAAAAACGTGAGCTTGATCTTGAGACGATCTACAGCTTTATTTTTCCACGAAGACATGATGATGTTAATTTTCCAGAACGACATTGATTGATGGATATGGATGCCCAAATGAATCAATGATTAAGTTGGGATCTGGTGTTGATCTTTCCGATTCCATCGTCGAAGTTCTGAGAATAAGTAACGGAGTCGTACCTGAAGGTTTGAGGGAGGTTATGATGAGGGCGGACTAGAAGCTTTCTGAGCTTGTAGAAGACGTGTCTCCAGCTACCCTTGCTGTGGCAGCCCAGAACAGCAGTCTCTTGTTTGTTCATCTCCAGATCTCTGGCGGAGGTGGGCTTTCTGGAGAGGATCCAACCGCATCCCCAATCCCACCATTTCCTGATCCAACCGCATCCCCAAACCTAGCAAATCTATATCAGAAAACCCTAACCTTGAGCCCTAGATCGATTTAGATCATAGGGATTCGAACAATCACGGAGAGATACGCTCAAATCACGAGTAGAACAAGATTTTTCAGATCAAACAACTGAAGAATTGATGGAGATCGAAGATCCGACGCCTCGAAGATCCGATGCCTCGATTTCTCTCTCTTTCTGAAGTCACGCTTCTGTTCAATCTGAATAGAAGAATGTCATAGCCTTGAGTTGAGCCACTGTTTAAAAGAAATAACGGGGCACAAAATGAGAGATGGTTTAGTTTAATTTTTTTGGAATTTGAAAAATCTGGACAATTTCACGACGTTTTTGAAAAACGTCATAAAAAAAAGTCACTGTATGTCCTTTTTCTTGTAGTGAAATTTAAATTGTTTGGTAAATTGAGAAAGGAAAGTTGTAGAAAGATGTTATTTCATGGGATTTTGGCCTATTTTGGCAAGTTAGTTAAAAATTAGTTTTTTGACTTTTTAATTTTTTTGAATCACATCATTTTTTTTTAATTTTTTTATGCATTTTTTTTAAAAAAATTAAAAAATAAAAATAAAAAAACCAACTTTTAAACTATTTCCCAAAATACATCTTTTTAGAGAATCACGGTGTTAACCCAATCTGGAAATAAACAAAACTTTTTGCAAACATGTACTTCAGTCATTTCAACAACACATCCACACCTTTCCCAATCTTTTTTAATAACAAAACAAACTATCTTGAGAAAAAAAATATTGGCAAAACACACATCGATATCTTTTTTCTTAATATCTGTTAGTAATCTTATTATCATCCCCACTCCATCAATATGGCCTTCCACTAGCCGAGGCGGTGTGAGGCTTGTTTACATTGAACGATAGT